TTTCTCTTTTCAAAATCTTGGTTGGAAGGGCAATTCCCATGCCAAGAGTTCAACGATAATGCAGAAGATCAAAATGCGCTTGCACTACTCCATCGTGATTCCTACTGCATTATATGCAAGTGAAATATGGAAAAGTACTGCTAGTAAAAGGATGAACGCCTTGTTGAAAGGATGAATGCCTTTCACCAGAGATGCCTACGCCGGATTATGAAAATACGCTACATGGATCACGTCACCAATGAGGAAGTTTTACGCCGTTGTGGCTCGAATTGCCTCCACGTGATTGTGGCACAGCGTAGGCTTCGACTGGCTGGCCATATTTTGCGCATGACACAACAACGAGTTCCAAGGGTGGCCATGAGGATACCTCCAGGCGCCAAGCGAGGAAGAGGCCGTCCCAGAAACACGTGGAGACGAACGTTCGAGAATGATTTCAAGATCATGAATGTTTCTAGGAATGAAGGAGAAATGATTGCACAAGACCGGCAACAGTGGAAAGAATTCGTCGCCCGATGTGCTCTCCAGCACGGGAGGAACTAAGTAAGGAATACGTGAGAACATATTTTAGGCTTTTACGAAGAATGTTTAATGGGTCTTTCATAGGTTAACTTGCACCATAATAACGATGGGGGACAACCGTCTTTCGAAATGCTCTCCACTGCAATGAATGCAGGCTCGAAATCGCTTCTTGGGCTTCGCGCACGCTTGCACGCAGGTAATTCCTCGTCCATTTCTTCCAACGTTTTCTTCAGCGATGTTTCCAGTGACCGAAAACTTTGAGACAAACTCGAAAGACCTCACTTTCACTAAACGACCTCACGAGAAGTGGGTTTGTGCGGACCACTGTCGTTATCCTTTGTTGGGGACCCGCTCGTGCATGCAAGATTGCAGGTTTCACTGGAAGACCTTCTGCCATTCAGAAAATAGTAGTGGTTTCACCCCGCCAGTGGAACAGATTACAAGAAAGCAGAAACGATCAGTAGCAAATGAAGTGAAAATACTCAAGTAAATTTGCTGAATAAGTTGTTGAATTTCGGCGCTCATAATTTTGGTACGCTCTGCAGTATATGTGCTCGTACTGTGCAGAAAAAACCATTCATGCGCGAAGTAAATTAGGTAAATTTTCAAGGTGAAGCACTTTTCTACGAAGGGCATTCCCAAGATTCTAAACACAGAATCGTGAGCGTGAACGCGTCCACGAAGCTGGAACCGGGACCTCAAATGCAGTGTATTAGCTTGGTCCATGAGTCTTGCAACAAATCACATTTATTGCTAGAGAACTTTTGAAAAGACTCCGCAACATGTTTACTGACGTAGCATCCTTTTTTGCAATTTCAGCCAACCGTCCAGCTCGTTGTCTCGCTACTTGTTATGGATATTACATCGATTTCGCGAAAAGTCTTCGTGCCCTGAATTTTTACGAGTACTGCTTGGAATGTTCCGCAAGTCGTGCTACACCAAGGACTAGCCAGAAGATGGGCAAGGGCACGTTCTCTTACAGAAATCACGGTGCATTCGCGTTACTCGAATCAGCATTGGGTTTATTTGAACAAGATCCACACTCCAACCACACATGGACTCACGATGCTCTACATGACGCTGTTGAAAAGCAATCTGAATAGACTATTGATCATTCACCGGAGCAATTCTGATGCGACAAGAAGACAGCACTGAGGGATCTCCAAAGAAAACTTGCTTGCTTTTCTTCTGCCATACAGGTTGTTACGATGGAACTATTTATTACAACTCGTCGTCTTCAGGACCTGAAGTCGGTTGGAAGTTTTAGCTTGTAATTTACCCGGTCAAGCCCCACAGTACTACTCTACTATTCAAGAGTAACAAATATAGGTAACTACCTTACTTGAACACTCAAATAAAAATCTCGGCTGGAAGTATAGTGTGAAGTGGTACCGAAAAAGCAGCTCAAAGAACATCTTACTCCATGCAAAGTCTGCACACCCCACAGCTGTAAAAATGCTGTTGTTCGAAACATGTACAAAACAGCATTGGAGTTTGTACAGGCGACATGGAGCGAGATGAGTCTCGTAAGCTAGCTACCGATATTGCAAGGATGAATGGCTATGAAGAACAAAGAAGATCAGGCTCACAAAGGTATTCCGCGAGAAATCGCGAGGCTTCACAAGGGCGTTCCGCGCGTAGTCGCATATTTCGCGAGAAATCGCGTGGCTTCACAAGAGCGTTCCGCGCGTAGTCGCAAAGACATTGCACACCTCCAGTTGCCTTTTATCAGACCAGATTGGTCCCCCGGCAAGCGCCGGAACCTCCCTACCTTGCGTAAGCTTTCCCTTCTCCCTCCTCTCCTTACTCTCCCCTCGTTCCCCTCTGCTCGCCGGCTACCACAGCATCACCTTGTGGAATGACCGAAAGTGTGCTAAGTGCGTGTTTATATAGCCGTTGGGGTGTTATCACAATCATGCCATTGCAAAACATTGATAGCTAAAGTCCTGTGAGCTACATGATTTTGTTAGCGGTTTGTTTAT